GGATGCGGAGGGATTGTATATCAAAGAAAGAATTTTTCTTTTACTTTTTTCAAAGAGAGGAGCAAACTGGGGCAGGGTGGGGAGGAGGGCTGGGCAGGGAGAAAAGTGCAACAATGAATGAATGAAAATCCAAAATCTCTGTAAATGTTCATTAAAATGATTAAAATAAAAATAAAATAAAAGAGCCCTACTTGTGCAGAGGTAAAATATGTAACTGTTGGCTGTAATATCAGTAGTTTAATCTATCAGCTGCTTCATAGTAGAAGGATGTGACACTTTGCTCCCAAAGAGGTTTTGGTCTCAGAAACTATTGGATACTTCTAACTCTGTCCCACATCCCTGTGAGTCAGAATTGACTTGATGGCAATGGATTGATTGGTTGGTTGATATTTGAGAAATTATGATAAAACCAATAAATCTTTCAAAATTCATGTTCTCAGCAGTATTGCTTACAGTCTATTATTGTTGTTGTTGTTGAATGCCATTGAGTTGAGCATGGCTCGTTGTAGTCCCATGAACAACAGCTTGAACCCTGTCCTACCCTTTACCATCCTTATCGTCTCTGACACACTTAGAAAGAGAAAATCATATTTATGCCATCATATGAATTTATGTACTAATAGTAGCCATTCATTGAATCAATAGATATTTACTAAGACCTCTGACAATAATTCACGTCTTTGAATTGTGGTGTTGATAAAGAATAGTTACTATACTGTGGATTGAACAACTATGTCTAAAAGTACAGATGGAATATTCCTTTGAAGAGAGGATGGTAAGACTTTATTTCACTTTATTCAGATATGATATCAGAAGGGAACAAGTACTGAAGAAAGACATCAAGTTTGGCAAAGCAAAGGGCCAGTGGAAAAGAGGAAGACTGTTAACAGGTTTAATTGAGGCAGTGGCGGCAACAATGGGCATAAATGTAGTAGTGATTGTAAGAATGGGGTCAGATCAGGCTTTGGGCTGGTGGCAAGAAGCTGCACTTCAATACTGAAGGCATGTGGTTCGAATCCACCACCTGCTCCATGGGAAAAGGATGGGCAATCTCCTACGCAATTAACTGCCTCTGAAAACCCTCTGGAGAGCCAGATATGGGTTGGTTCTGACTCTATGGTACACACAACAACAACATGAGTCACAGTCACTTAGGTTCAATGATATTTACACAACAATAACAACATTAACTTGACATGCTTTTCTGGGATATGCAGATGACATGACTTTGTTAACGGAAAACGAAAAAGATGGGAAGAACCTACAGGTGAAGATTAAAATCTATAGCCATTAGTACAGATCTACACCTCAACATAAAGAAAAAAAAATCTTCAAAATGACCAATAAGCATTGTGATAAACAGAGGAAAGATTGGAGTTGTCAGGGATTTAATTTTATTTGTAGCTACAATCAACGCTTATGCGTGGAAGCAGCAATCAAGATATCAAATGAGGGGGAGCTCTGGTGGCCAAGTGGCAAGAAGCTGCACTGCAATCCCAGAGGTGCGTGATTCAAATCCACCAGATGCTCTGCTGGAGAAGGAAGGACAATCTCCTCCTGTGCCAGTCAGATCTGATTTGAGGGTACACACACAAAAAAAAATAATAACCCCCCAAAACAAAAACCAATCAAACAAAATCCCCCAACATTAAAAAAAAGATATTAAATGACATGTTTTATTGGGCCAAGCTGGCATATAGAATTTCTTTAAAGTGCTAAAAAGCAAAGGCATCTCTTTCAGGACTTTAAAATATGTCAGATCCAAGCCATAGTTTCACTTGCCTCATCTGCATGTGAAAGTTGAACAACAAACAAGGAAGATTAAAGACATTAAAGCCTTTGGGTTGTAGTATTTGTAAAGAAGGTAGAATATACCATACACTGCCAAATGAACAAACAAATCTGTCTTGACTGAAGTGTAGCCAGGATGATCTTTGGAAGTGAGGATGCTAAGAATTTGTTTCAAAAAGAATTTTAAAAAAAGAAGTTGTTTCATATATATCCTTTGGGCATGTTACCAGGAGGGACTAGTCCCTGAAAAGCTATTGTGTTTAATAAGGTGGAAGTTAATTAGCAAAGAAGAATAAGACCTTCAATGAGTTGGACTGATAAAGTGGCCACAACAAAAATTTCAAGCCCAGCAGTGATTGTGAAGTTGATGTAGGACTGGAAAACCTTTCATTCAACACCTACAACAGGATCTGAGGTCACCATGAGTTTGGCAACAAGGTTTCATTCATGCAGTAGACAATATCCTTGACGACAAGGACTCATTGGTGAACAAGATATACACATAGAGGTTTTAAAAAGATGAAACTTCATTTCCTTTAATTAAGTTTCCTTTTAAGGTGAAAGAAAATGTTTCTTTCAGAAAATATTTTTTTCCAAAGCAAAACATGTTCAGAGAAAAATTTCAGGGACTGTGGAAGCTTATGAAGTACATGTGGAGGAATATGTTCATATTTTTTGCTGTATTTTCCCTCCTCAGAACATTAACAATTTTTTGGTGTGTATTCATCAAGAAAATTCTTGCCATCATGTCACTCATGGTCTTACCACATTTGCCCCTGATGGTATGAACAAAGTAGCATATTTTCTCTAAGAAAAGACTCTCTCTCTCTCTCTTTTTCTACCACCCCCCCGTGTGTGTGTGTGTGTGTGTGTGTGTGTGTGTGTGTGTGGTGTGGGCATGTGTGGGTAGTTCCTGGGTGGTACCAATCCTTAGCGTGCTAGAGGCTGAAAGGTTAGAGGCTGGAGTCCATCCAAAAGTCCTCAGAAGAAGACCTGGTCATAATCTAGTTCCAAAAACCCAGCCATTGAAAGTCCTATTGGAGCAGAGCTCTGTTCTGACACACATGGGGTGTCCATGAACTAGAATCAACTTAATGGCAGCTGTTAATGTGGTTTATGTGTGTATTCACTGAGCGATAGAAAGCCAGTTTTGTAGGGGGAAAATTCTTGCCTAAAAAAATCAAAGCACATGAGCAAGTGTTAATAATATTTCTATTAAATCTGATAAACAATAGGCTCACGATAGTGCAGGGTTCAGAGCTGTTGTACATAGGGTCACTATGAGTCACAGGCAACTTGACAGCACATAACACAACAACAACATTAAACTTGAGTCAGAGAAGAATAAAAAATGAAAATAGACAATATTTTCAACTGAATGATAACAAAATATTACTTAGCAAACTTTATGTGATAGACCTAAAAGCAGTGATTAGCATAAAATTTATAGCTTTAAATTGGGTATATTAGAAAAAAAGAAAAACTGAGAATTGAGGACATAAACATTCACCCCAAGGACCTTGAAAAGAACAGAAAATAAAATCAAAGTGAAGTAGAAAGGAAAACAAAAAGATAATAGTATGCTACTGAAATGGAAAGCAAATACACAATAGAAAATATCAATACATATGAGGCTGTTCCTTTAAAAATTAACAGCAAAGGGGGGAGATAGGAAGGAAAATGTGCAACAATAAATGAATGGAAGTCCAATTTCTCTGTCAACTTATGTTACAATAGCAATAAAAAAATTAATAGAATGATACATTTGTATCAAGACTGATCAAAGAAAAAGATAACAATAAAAGGAATGAGAAAATGTACCATGTTAAAGTTCTTATAAATATTAGAGCATTAGAATGATAAATTCATGTACAATTTTCTTATGCTAATTAAGAGGAATCATTTCAACTGAAGGCACTGTTATTCTTGGGGCCTTTGTGGAAATTCATACTAAAAAGAAAATAAGGTGGTGTGGAGGAAGCCTCCACAAAGTACATATGAATTTTGACTAGTGACATGAGCACATGTTCATGTGAAACTTAAAAGTTGTGTCAACACTTTCATTCTGTCTCAGGTGAATTAGCTCCTTTATTCAAGTTCAATGATGGGCTAGTTTTCACACTGTAAACTTTAGCAAGTGGGACTTAGTGCTGAAAATACCACCTATTTTCTACTCCAACTTCACTGACACCACTCTTTCCCTCTGGGTCTATCTTTTGGAAAAGAACAAACTAATCACTTGATTTTTTTTCTGCAGAGACATAGAAAACTCAAGGGGCCACTAGAACCTGTTTCTCTGGATATGCTCCCAAAACCACATTCAAGGAAACAGTTGATAGAGAAGAATCCAGTTAGATTTGTCACCCTCATGAGAGGATGATGACGCAACTTAGACAAACATGCCAATTACTTGTCCACATTTCCTCCCTCCACCCTGATACCAAGTTCAAGTTTCCCTTAGACTCAAAGTACCTTTAGTTGAAAGTGAGACTAACACGTAAGTCTTCTGATCTGTGATTAGAACATTGCGTTTGTTCATTGTGATGGACAACAATATTTTTTGTATGATCGTAGGGTCCGTAAGAACTCGACATATTCCCTGTTCCTCAATGAAAGTATTGAGACTCAGAGAAGTGAGAAATTGGCCAGACTGGGAATGAAACCCTTCGATGTTCTTGCATGGTATTAGTGAACTGAGCCGGAAGCCATCCTTGGTTCAGTTCTCTGCCTAGTAGAAAGAAGATTAGGACCCATGAGGCCACATCATCATCCCTTATCCCCAAAAGGATGGCTCCACACCTTTTCCATTTGAGTCCAGTAGTCTATTACATCACTGGCGAAGTTGAATTCCTCAGGTCTATCATAGTCATTCCACTTTGGTGCTCCAACTTCAGAGAAAGACTGGAAGGGCTGGTGCCAAGGGGCAGGGTGGAAGCTGTGGCAGGATTTGCGGAAGGCCCGGATGGCCGTAAGCCTCATCAGCCACTGCATGGTAGGGTGGTCCTCAGGAGACAGGAGCAGAACTCTCAGGCCACCACCTGCTTTGGGAAGAGATGGCCAATAGGTTGGTCGTGTAGAAGGAAATCACTCAACACAAGGAATGTGAGTTTCTGGCTAGAAGGTTTGTTTCAGCACCAGAATTTGGAGGGCATGACCTATTGATTCAAGTAGGAATGTTGGTGCAAACAATTAATGCACTTGGCTGCTAACTGAAAGGTTGGAAGTTCAAGTCCACCCAGAGGCACCTTGGAAGAAAAACTTGGCAATTTGCTTCTGGAAAATGAGCTATTAAAAACCAGCAGGGATGCAATTCTATTCTGAAAGATGTGGAGGCACCATGAGTTTAAGTCAACTAAATGACAAACGCTGGTGGGCTAGCCCAGAGCAACTCCACTAAGGTGAACTTCCCCAGATGAACTGGGTACACATTCCTGGGGAGGGAGGAATCTTCTCCTTTGCCGCACGTCCTAGGATTTAAATTCAGAACGACAAGCATGTAACCTCTTTATGGTAGAAAGTCATTATTTCTGAATGTTCTTTCTCCCCTCTTAACTCTGGAGGAATCACTTCCCCCAAGTGCAGCAATGAAGTTCCTGGGAAACATCATAGCTTCAGATGATCTTTCTGACTAAAGTTGTTGATCCTAGGGAGCTCTGGTAGTCTACTGGCAAGAAGCTGCACTGCAATGCCAGAGGTGTGAGCTTCAAATCCACCAGATGGTCTGCTGGAGAAGGAGGGACAATCTCCTATACCTGTCAGATCCAATTTGACAGTACACACACAACAACAACAACAACAACCACTATTATTATTGATTGGTCCAGGGCTGTGCATCAAGCTGGACCAGATTGTCATTCTCCAAGGTTTTTAACCCCAGATGTGCCAATAATTATCCTTCTCCAAAATGTTTCTGTCAAGCACTAGAAAGTGTATAAGGTATCTCTGGTTATTATTGTTAGGTGCTGCAGAGTCGAGTCTAGTTCATAGCGATAATATAAAGCACAGATCTGAATCCTGTCCTCTCCTGTGCCAACCACATCTAGTAAAGGCCATAAAATGCACCCTTTAGAAATTGCCATGTGGCCCAACTTTCTAGGCATGAGCCTATGAAGTTGATGTACAGAGAGAATCCTGCAGAAATTTGTTTTTAGTTCACATTGCTCCTGAAACCTCCTGGCTGCATCTCCAACCCATTGTGACTTGCATCTTTCTTTATATTATATAAGTCCACTTGTTGGTTTTGGTTTTTTTTTGTGTCTGAGATTAGGTGCTATCAGTTAATACTTTAAAGACACTAATAAATACACAGGGAGCTCTGGAGGCCTAGTGGTAACTAAGAAGCTGCACACACAATCCAAAAGGCACGTGGTTTGAATCCACCAGTTGCTCTGCTGGAGAAAGACAATCTCTTCTTGTTGGATTTACTACTACATCTGAAAATTGGCTGGAGGGTCAGCTACAGGTCACTGTCGACTCAACAACAATAACAACAAATAGACACTCAGGAAAGAAAGAGTCCTGGTGGCATAGTGGTTACATGCTTGGCTATTAACAGAAAGGCCATTGGTTCAAAGTCACCAGTTACTCTGGGACAGAAACATGTGATCATCTCTTTTGGTAAACATTGCAGCCTTAGAAACCATATAGAACAGTTCTACTTTATCTACTATTACTATAAATTGGGAGAAACTCAATGACAAAGGGATTTTGTTTTGGTTTGGGACTGGCTTGCTTGATTTCTGTTTTTTGCTCAGGGCAAACATTGCTAATATCTTCACACCTTCTCCAAGGACTTGAATGTAGCTTTGCATCACTCATCTCCAAAAAAGATGGCCCCACACACTTTCCAGCCACTTACAACCCATTAACATTGACACATGAAATAGAAACTTTCACATTCCCCAAAGATACTGACAAATACACCCAACACGAGGCAGGGCCATTAGACCTTTCCTGAAGTTAGATTGTGAAAATTGGCTTAAGCTAGAACTCTGTTTCTCCTGTGAGATTGTTGACTAAAGGAATTCAATTTGCACACACTTTGGAGACTCAAGTTCCTCTCAGGTTCAACAATAACATATTACTGTTTGATGGAGAGAAAACACACACACACACACACACACACACACCCAACCCATAGGGTAGACCTAGACAACTTGACTCAATTTAATTTAATTAAACAAAAAAGTAAATCCATAGGCCTGAAGTTAATTCTGACTCACTCCCACTTCGTTTGTTACAGACAAATGAGACGAAATTCTCAATGGAAGTGGATGCCCAGATATTTCTTCCGTGGCACTACTGGGTGAGTTTGAACTAACAACCATTAAATTAGTTGTTGCTGCTATGTAGCGTCGATTAGGCTATGTCTCATAGCAACCTCGTCTCTGACATACCTGCCTACATTGCCAAAGTCACTGTGTCAATCTATCTCATTCAGGGTCTTCCCCTCCTGCACTGACCTTCGACCCTTCCAAGCACGAAGTCCTTCTCCAAGGAATAGTCCCACTTGGCAAATGCCCAGTGTGTGACCTAACTATGATTAATTAAACGATGAACATTACTCTGAGAACTCTCCTAAGTAGTCTTCATGTCAGTCACTGCTAAATTCACGATGATTTTCTGTCTACAATAAAGAGGGATATAGGAAAAGTTCATCTCCTAGACATGCCTTGTCAGCTTTAATCTTTAGCCAGATGAACTGAAGGCTCTTGACTCTTCCCACTCACTCAGTCAGTCATTGCCATCGAATCAGAACTGACTCCAAGCTGACCCTCCAGAGGCCAGTGAATAACATGAGAGGAGACTGCCTGTGTTTCTCCCACAGAGCAGCTGTTGAATTCAAACCAAATGTCTCTGTGTTGGCAGCACAACTCCTTATCTGCTAGACCATCAGAACTCTCTGCTCTTCTTCTAGGACCTGCCAAACAAGGGTGCCATTTTTTCCATTTTATCTGAGCGCTTTGGGGTTAGAAAAATCTCAGGATAGCAGATGGTGCACACCCAGACCTCACACTGCCTCCTTTTGGCCCTCAGTTTTTTTGAGGAACAAGTTTGAATTGCCAAACGTCATTTGCAGGAAAAGATGGAATTTCCAGCATGTAAAATTTAGATGCTGTCATTCAAAAGATATAAATTAGAGATTTTTCTTTAAAAACCAGAAGATCTGGCTCCACTGAGCAGGTGTTTTATTTCAACTTCATATGTAGTAGAGAAATAACTGCTGTGTTAACATGGAATGTTCTCCAATTTGCCATGGTTTCTGCCAGTCCCTAGTCTGTCACCTGTCACACCTGTCTGCCTCTCCACTTACTACACCTGCCCAGATACTGTAGACATTTGAGCTTAATCTTCCTGGTCTGGGTCAACATCTGAGGAAGGTGTCAACAACAAAATTGGTTGTGGAAGCCAAGTCTCTCAGTGTTACTTTCTTTAACACACTCCTGATCCGTGGGCCTGGGCCAATTTGAAGTATTAACATCAGACTCAGTTCTATATGTATATGCAGGTGTACACACGGCCTCCTGTTCTTCCTTAAACATCATCTTGCTCTTCTCCTAAGAACAGGGCAAAGAAATCTCTTAATAACTGGCTAAAGTACAAACAAAAAAAAGAAGGGGGGAGAAAATGAGAAGGAAACACATAAAGAAAGCCCTTTTGGTCAAAGAAAATACCATTGGCATCGTTTCATAAATGTGATGATAAATCTAATTAATGTCTGTCACATGTGAGCAATTAGCACCCATGTGAGTTAGCCCAGTAGTAGCTGAGAACTTGGCCTTGGGAGTCAGAGAACCCAACCCAACCCAAACCCACTGCCATGAATCGCGTTCTCTCCCCTGTGGCTGTAAACCTGTAGAGACGCAAACTGTCACATGGTCGTCCCCAGAATGTACAAAAAATGACAGACTCTTTGATTAGTAACCTGGTGCCACTGGAGGATATTGGAGTAAGAAAAAGCTACGCTTATAGGGTTTATTCTGACTTGACTCTATTAGACACGAACTATTCCATAGAGTTGCCAAGGTTGTAAATCTTCATGGAAGCAGACTGCTTATCTTTTTCTGGCGGGTGGAGTCAAGCAGCTGACTCTTCTGTTAGCACATTTCTTTCCCTACTGCACCACCAGGTCTGCTTGGCATCAAACAACACAACACACACCAGTTTCTTTATATATTACCCAGGGCTGTTGAGTTGGTCCTGACTGATAGGGACACTGTGGGATAGATTAGAACAGCCCACAGGGGTTTTGGGCCATAAGCTCTGCAAAAGCAGATCATGCCTTATCTTTTTCCCATGGAGAGCTTGGTAGGTTCAAACTGCTGACCTTTCAGCGGTGAACACCTGACCACAGCCTGCACCAGCAGAGTGCCTTACCACCTGTGTTACTTTGGGCAATTTATTGAACTTTCCTGTGAAAGTGAGAAACAATGGCAACATCCAGTGCTAGACTACCCAATAAGCAAGATATGCATGTTGTTGTTGTTATGTGCTGTCGAGTCGCTTGCGACTCATAATTCTGCTCTGTCCTGTGCCAATCTCACTGTCTCTGACACACCCATCCCGATTACCCCAGTCACTGAATCAATCCACCTCACAGAGGGCCTTCCCCTCCTGCACTGTCCCTCCACCCTCCCAAGCATGATGTCCCTCTCCAAGAACCTCTCCCTCCTTACAACATGTCCAAAGTATGTCAGACGAAGGCTCAGAATCCTTGCCACCAGGGATCCGCCCAATTTAACCCTCTCCAGGATGAATCTGTTTGTTTCCTTAGCAGTCCATGGTACCCTCAATACTCTTCTCCAGCACCACAGCTCGAAGGTATCAATTCTCCTTCTGTCCTCCCTAGTCATTTTCCAACTCTCTGACGCATAACAAGTGATTGCAAAGACCATGGCCTGTATCAGATGCACCTTAGTCTCCAGAGAGACACCATTGCCCTTCAGTACTTTGGAGAGGTCCCTAACAACAGACTTTCCTATCGCAATACA